AAATTGGCACATCCATTGCTTTACATGTAACTTGCAAGTTAGCACATCCAGTGCTGCACATGTAACTTGCAAGTTAGCACATCGATTGCTTCACATGTAGCTTGCAAATTGGCACATCCATTGCTTCACATGTAACTTGCAAGTTAGCACATCCAGTGCTGCACATGTAGCTTGCAAGTTGGCACATCCATTGTGTCACATGAGGCTTGCAAATTGGCACATCCATTGCTTCACGTGGAGCTTGCAAGTTGGCACATCCATTGCTTTACATGAAGCTTGCAAGTTGGCACATCTATTGCTTCACTTGATGCCTGCCCAGCCTGATCATAACTTGTTTTTCCCGTATAGCGAGTTTGAAAATCCCTTGGTTCACATGTAGCTTTCCAGTTTGAAGATCCTTTGGTTCACATGTACCATTCCCTGTCTGAACATCCATTGGTTCACATGTAGCTTGCAAATTGGCACATACAGTGCTGCACGTGTAGCTTGCAAGTTAGCACATCCATTGCTTCACATGTAGCTTGCAAATTGGCACATCCATTGCTTCACATGTAACTTGCAAGTTAGCACATCCAGTGCTGCACATGTAGCTTGCAAGTTGGCACATCCATTGTGTCACATGAAGCTTGCATATTGGCACATCCATTGCTTCACATGTAACTTACAAGTTGGCATTGCTTCACATGTAGCTTGCAAGTTGGCACATCCATTGCTTCACATGTAACTTGCCAGTTAGCACGTCGATTGCTTCACATGTAGCTTGCAAATTGGCACATCCATTGCTTCACATGTAACTTGCAAATTGGCACATCCAGTGCTGCACATGTAGCTTGCAAGTTGGCACATCCATTGTGTCACATGAAGCTTGCAAATTGGCATATCCAGTGCTGCACATGTAGCTTGCAAGTTGGAACATCCATTGCTTCACATGTAGCTTGCAAGTTGGCACATCTATTGCTTCACATGTAGCTTGCAAGTTGGCACATCCATTGCTTCACGTGGAGCTTGCAAGTTGGCACATCCATTGCTTCACATGAAGATTGCAAGTTGGCACATCTATTGCTTCACTTGATGCCTGCCCAGCCTGATCATAACTTGTTTTTCCCGTAGAGCGAGTTTGAAAATCTTTGGTTCACATGTAGTTTGCCCAGCCTGAACATCCCTTGGAACACACGTAGCTTTCCAGTTTGAAGATCCTTTGGTTCACATGTACCATTCCCTGTCTGAACATCCATTGGTTCACATGTAGAATACCTAGTCTGTACATCTCTTAGTTCACACTTAGGAGACCTAGATTGAACATCCATTGGTTCAAGTGTCGAATGCCCAGCTTGAACATTCATCCGTTCACATGTAGCATGCCTAGCTTGAACGTTTAGTCGTTTACATGTAGCATTCCCAGCTTAAACATTCAGTCGTTCACATGTAGCATGCCCTGTTTGAACATTGGTTCACATGTAGCATGCCATGTATGAACATTCATTGTTACACATGTAAAATGTAATGTTTGAACACTCATTGTTTCACATGTGGCTGCCCTGTTGGAACATTCATTGTTTCACATGTAGAATGCCATGTTTGAACATTCATTGTTTCACTTGTAGAATGCCATGTATGAACATCCGTTAATTCACATGTAGAGTGCCATATTTGAACATTCAGTGTTTCACATGTAGAATGCCCTGTTTGAACATTCATTGTTTCACATGTAGAATGACATGTTTGAACATTCATTGTTTCATATGTAGAATGCCATGTATGAACATTCATTGTTTCACATGTAGAATGCCATGTATGAACATTAATTGTTTCACATGTAGAATGCCATGTTTGAACATTCATTGTTTCACATGTAGAATGACATGTATGAACATTCATTGTTTCACATGTAGAATGCCATGTATGAACATTCATTGTTTCACATGTAGAATGCCATGTTTGAACATTCATTTTTTCACATGTAGAATGCCATGTTTGAACATTCGTTTGTTCACATGTAGAATGCCATGTATGAACATCCCTTAGTTCACATGTAGCATGTCCAGCAACTCAGCATTATTGAAAACGTCCATACAGGTTTATCACATGATGTATATCAACACCACCATGGTAGATTTCCACCACCACCATGGTCCATTACGCGTGCCAGAATCCTATGATCGAGGTTTCGAATTCAAGATTTGCCTTGATTACGACTCTTTGCTTGTGAGCATCACGTCCGTTCTCATGGGTTTCATTAAATTAGTATTACCGTCCAAGAATTGCATCACTTAATGTTTCCTCACATCACGCTAGCACACCTTGCTATAACTACAATACTGTTCAAAGCGCAAAATAGGAATTACTCATTCTTCAGAACATATTTTGGGTCCTTTGGAAAAAGAGAGAACTAATCCACAAGATGTCGTATATGCACATTGTGTCAATGAAATTGACATCTGGGATGTGTATGAAAATACAAGAACATAAGTTTGATTTAAGGGTATAGTTCTAGGTTAATTCAAGACGGATCAATGTGTTTTATAAATGCACACTAGTATTTGTAAGTGTGAGTTTAGATTGGTATATATTTTATGACCAATAACTATGTTTCTGTATATTACGACAAAAACCAATGATAATGCCTTAAAGAAACCTACTACATGTTATGGCCAGTATCATTCATACGTCACCTAACAATGGCAAGTAGCGTCTTAGAAGAGTATTTGACCATAGCACGTAGTCTGTATTTATGTTCAGTAAAATCAAGTACTTCTTAAATCTAAATACCCCACATCTCACAGGGATAGTAATTACTATATTTTGAGCTCTCTTGTCCTTGAGGTTGTCGAAAAGACAAATGCTTTTGATTGAATGCCTTTCACAATTTAATTAAGCAAAGTGTAAATAAATTCCATTTCTATTTGACGCACGAATATATATATTGATTAAAGTTGAATAAAATATATATATTTAATCTCTGAAACTAAAGTTACCGTATCATTCGTGATAGAACTTTACATGAAAATTTCTTACATTACAAAATCCATATCATTAATGCCACATATAATCCTTCACATCAAACATATCACACTACACAGTCAAATAATAGGAAAAGAATCTACCCCCCAGCCGCTATTTGCGTGTTTCAAGTCCGACAAGTCCAATTATTATTTTTGTAGAGCAAGCACGTAAACCTGCTGCGTGACCGTGCCTTGCGGCAAACTTTGCATATTATTTTACGATCGCAAACGTTAAATGTAACATCAAACACATGAAAATCCTTGGTTTAGACGTTCATAAGCATCATTTTTCACTTAGCTTTGTGTGTATACCAAATGTCAAAATCCCTTTCTAGGAGTATATCTTATCGATAGCTTGACGAAACATACGAGTGTGTGTCGCCATTTGGGGAGTTAGATCGAATCGTTTCGCGATCTGTAGTGATGAGTCTATTTTAGCCAAAGCCATTTTGAACGTGCCTTTTGCTGCAAATTTGCATGGCAAAGGCCTCGGTAATACACGCCATATTTTAGAAAAACACTTTTTTTAAATTTTCATATAACATAACTCAAACCTTTACATCTCACAAAGCTAGTTTACCCTTCCGACATTCATATAATCAGACATGTAACTAATGAGTGAGTGAGTGAGCATGGCCTCACGCCGCTTTTTGCAATATCACGGCGGGGAACACCAGAAATTCACGCATTGTACATAATTATGTAGGGAATCGAACACTTGCCTTCATCGTGATGAGCAAACGCTTTTACCACTAGGCTGCCCATACACGTCTGGATTAGCTTCACCCAAACAATCCCCTTTATATATTGGGAATTAGTATGCATGAAGTTGAACAACGCGCGGAACCACTGACCCCGGCATCAAGTGTCTTTTACGCTTTCAACAAGGACAACGCCACTGATCATTAACTTAACATATCTATCGATACACTGCATAACGAGTAGTCTGTTATACAGACCCGGAAACAGATATATCCTCCAAGCCCATGCAAGTCTATGATATTTGCCAACTTTAGATTAGTGCAGTTTCTGAAATTGAACAGAGTCTCCTTTATCTTACATTTTATTGGTTTGTTGGTTGGTTGGTTTGTTGTTTAACGCCGCACTCAGCAATATTCCAGCTATATGACGGCGGTCTGTAAAATAATCGAATCAGGACCAGACAATCCAGTGATTGACATCATGAGCATCGATCCACGCTATTGGGATCGATGACATGTATCAATCAAGTCAGCGAGCCTGACCACCCGATCCCGTAAGTCGCCTTTTACGACAAGCATAGTCGCCTTTTACGGCAAGTATGGGTTGCTCAAGACCTATTCTACCCCGGAATCTTCACGGGTCTTATATCTTATTAAGATAATTTAACAACTATTTTTTTTTATTTCAGTCTGGATGTTAGTCTACATAAGGAGTAAAACATTTGTATAAAAGAAGGACATGGAAATATGGTCCTCGGCCTTTATTTCCAGCCACAATTGAGCACAGTGTGAATGTAAGTGATATCAGGCAGCAGTGTGTGATATACACAACAGAGTATCACCTCAGTATTACGGTTGCCCATTCTTGGCATGGTGAGTTGGTGATACATGTCTGTAGAACCTGCTTGTCACAGACCTTAATAAAGGAAATGATAGCGCAGCACGTGCCAGCCAATACATAGAGTTCCCCTTTCAATTTGTCGATACTTTAAGTCGACCCTAAGCTATTTATTCCCCAGACAATCAGACGCTGATTATCTACACTTATTAACTCTGCCGTGAAACAGCAGCATCACGGCTTCTAACAACATCTTTGCCGGATTTCCGTCCAACAATGATTTGATTCACTTATTTGTATATACGTTGATATTGGAAGATTTGTTAAGATCGACCTTCCAGAAACCGATGTATTGGTGTTGATGGCTATGCGCATGTGTTGGGCGATGCGGCCTATAGGAGGCCGCGTGGTTGTATTGATCGCTCGCTATGATCAGTGAATGACGATATACAGGAGGAAGGCAGTCTCAGCCACTTTAGCCGGCCACGACTGTCTGATAACGTCGGTGAAGGAGCGAGATAACTTTTGTTTGCGATTCAAGTGTTTCAGAAGAGTTCAGGCGGGATGTAGTGTAGGAATGGTCAGCCTCTGAGGAAATCAGTGACGTTATTTTCTTTCATGATGGGAGAAAATGTTACATTTGGTAAACTTCCCGGAGCATATGGCATGAACGGCACAGATGCAGCGACGGCGGTTAATGACTCCGTCAAAGTTCCCTGTGTCAACATCACGGGAAACGTGTCCCAGTTGAAATGCATGGATCCAGCATCAGGGACATTACCAAGAGAAATTACATTCGACAATGACAACCTGGTGTCTGTGATCGCTTACTCTTGTCTGTTCCTCGTGGCAGCTTGTGGGAACCTAACTGTTTTCATAACGTTATTTCGGAACAGGAATATCAAGTCCCGTGTCAATCTCTTCATCATGCACCTGTCAATAGCGGATTTAATAGTTACTTTCGTCATGCTGCCGTTGGAGACGACGTGGAACATCACAGTCGCATGGAAGGCTGGTGAAGCCGCCTGCCGCATCCTTATGTTCTTTCGTGCCTTCGGTTTGTACCTTTCCTCCTTCACGCTCGTCACGATCAGCCTGGACAGGTATTTTGCCATCATGCGCCCTCTCAGTTTAAACGACGCCGACAAACGAGGGAAGATAATGTTGGTGCTGGCATGGATCTTCAGTTTCGTCGCAAGCATCCCACAGGTAAGACAACACAAGACGGGTTCCGGCCTATGGGTTAACACAACTCACCTAAATCCAGGGGTATCGCCCGTACAGCATAAACTAACATAATTCATCACAGAGTTAAATGAAAATGAAAATGAAAAATCTCACTTCAACCTGAGATGTATCCGACTTGATTCACCAACATCGAGTCCTCCAAGCATGATAAAACAAATGGAAGAAAGCGAATATAAGTAGTTTGAAAGCAAGAGAAACAATGTATTTTACACCCTGGGCTAAAACTGTAGCTGTTCTGAAATATTCTATTTTCGATGTCGTACATTGAAAACGTTGTAATGCTGAAATACCATGAACCAACAATAAATGTTTTGCCAGTCATTAAAGGTAACTTGTCTTATTTATCAATCCCAGCATATCCGCCCGTCCATTTTAGGGTAATCTGGCCATGGGGTACGTGGTAGTACCATATATATATAATGCATTTTAGCATTTGCAGGAGGTCCTGAATTCAAATTGATATTCAAACAACATGTCTCGTGATGTCTTTTGGAATTTTGACATACATGTTTGTTTGTACTGACACAAGATACAACATTGCCTCCTGTTCGGTACAAAAATACACGTTTTTCCCCAGTCGGTGTTGATGTACTGATACAAAATACAAGTTTTTTGTCCCAGTCGGTGTTGATGTACTGATACAAAATACATTTTTTTTTGTCCCAGTCGGTGTTGATGTACTGATACAAAATACAATTTTTTTGTCCCAGTCGGTGTGATGTACTAATACAAAATACAAGTTTGTCCCCTGTCGGTGTTGATGTACTGATACAAAATACAAGTTTGTTTCCGAGTCGGTGTTGATGTACTAACACAAAATACAAGTTTTTTTCCGAGTCGGTGTTGATGTACTAATACAAAATACAAGTTTGTCCCCTATCGGTGTTGATGTACTGATACAAAATACAAGTTTGTTTCCGAGTCGGTGTTGATGTACTAATACAAAATACAAGTTTGTCCCCTGTCGGTGTTGATGTACTGATACAAAATACAAGTTTGTTTCCGAGTCGGTGTTGATGTACTAATACAAAATACAAGTTTGTTTCCGAGTCGGTGTTGATGTACTGATACAAAATACAAGTTTGTCCCCTATTGGTGTTGATGTACTGATACAAAATACAAGTTTGTTTCCGAGTCGGTGTTGATGTACTGATACAAAATACAAGTTTGTTTCCGAGTCGGTGTTGATATACTGATACAAAATACAAGTTTTTTCCCTGTCGGTGTTGATGTACTGATACAAAATACAAGTTTGTTTCCTGTCGGTGTTGTATGAGCTGACAGAATTCAACTCTTGGTACATGTTTCTGTCGTGTTTCAGTATTATCCCTGCTGTAGGATCACGCCAGCTGACAGAGTGGTCAATATTTCGATTTTGCAAACAATAAAACTGTCGTCCAATACAATCTTCTATAAGTTGGGGCACGTAGCAGTATGTGCTTCCGTATTGCCTAAGTAAGTAGCGGCAGCTAATGCGAGGGAATTCAATCACAGTTCTACATATGGGTCCTGCACTCTGTTTGATTATGAAAGTAACGTCGTCTTTTCCTTGTAACTCAAACAAGAAACCTACAGCCCTAACCAATCTCTGTGCAACAGAATCCATCTTTGGAAACAAACATTATTATCCCCGTCACTGTAATTCGTTTCACGTCTAAATCTGTTTTCAGACAGTTCAAATCAGGTGAATTTATGTAAGATCTCTAAACAATTGGGGTAATATTTTGCCTCCGTCAATATATGTTGTGGTCCCAGTGTGACGGCCTCGGTCGTTAAGCGAGCATATTGTGTCATCACAAAATTATGCTACATTATTTCATTAATCATTATTATTAATGAAACTGTCAATTCCATCTTGATTGGATTCTTGGATTTCTCTGTGCTTGCGATGAAAATATGAACACCCCAAGGGAATCCTATATTAATCATAATACTTGGCACCAAATACGGACACGCAATTATCTACAAAGTTGAATATTTATATTAACCTTCAAATTCAATTCGTTGTATATCAGAGTTCATGTTGCAACGAGAGCGCCTGAAGAGACCAAAGTTACTTCCGTCTACATCACAACTGGGACTCATCATGTGTTCAAGGTTGTAATACGACTGTGCAGATAATTGCGTGTACGTATTAGGGGCCATATGTATAACAGTGTTAGCAGTAAACTCAAACGTTTTACTAGCCCGGGATAAAAATAAACAAAATGCCCTTATTATGTTAATTAAATCAATGGGGAAATTTTGAAATTTGTACTAGCCCGCAGGAATTTGTACTAGCCCCGGACTAGCGGGCTAGTGTTAATTTTATATAATGTGTGTGTGTGTGTGTGTGTGTGTTATAATGTGTGTGTTATAATGTGTGTGTTTGTGTGTGTGTGTGTGTGTGTGTGTGTGTGTGTGTGTGTGTGTGTGTGTGTGTGTGTGTGTGTGTGTGTGTGTGTGTGTGTGTGTGTGTGTGTATTTCGGTGCATAATAAACCACACTATAAACCGTATTGTATATATTATCAGTAACACCTTTCTGTTCGTCATATGTTCAATATTTGCCGTTTGCGGATGTGACATTTGATTCGGAACTCACCTGTGGTTTGCTACTGCAGGAGGATGTGGTTCTGGAGAGAGGGACTTTGGTATTACCACAATGCGTGTCATTTTCACCTAGGCTGCAATTACATTACAAGGCTTACTCAAAGAACATAAATGAAAATTTATTTCGTATTGACTCTCAAATCAAAAGTTAAACATGGGCCCAGTTCCACAAAGCTATCTTGGCGCTAAGGTGAACGTAACTCCCATATATCGCTTCAGTATTAACTCCTATGCTTGAACATTAACGTTCGGCAGTCACAGTGCAACGATAATAACGCCCATGCTTTAACTTTGACGTACGGCAGTCACAGAGCAACGATAATAACGCCCATGCTTTAACTTTGACGTACGGCAGTCACAGAGCAACGATAATAACGCCCATGCTTTAACTTTGACGTACGGCAGTCACAGAGCAACGATAATAACGCCCATGCTTTAACTTTGACGTACGGCAGTCACAGAGCAACGATAATAACGCCCATGCTTTAACTTTGACGTACGGCAGTCACAGAGCAACGATAATAACGCCCATGCTTTAACTTTGACGTACGGCAGTCACAGAGCAACGGTAATAACGCCCATGCTTTAACTTTGACGTACGGCAGTCATATCGCTACAGTATTAACTCCCATGCTTTAACTTTGATTTACGATGGTGATATCGCTGCGATAGTAACGCCAATGCTTTACCATTGACGTACAGAAGTCATATCGCTATGATATGGCTTGATGACGTCTACCACTTTGAATGCCGTGAGTTCGGATATGATATGAGTTTCAAGCTCAGTCAGCGAATGCTGTCTCGCTACACTGTGCACAGCACGGAGCTAACCACGCCTCGCACAACTCATTGCTACCTGCTAACACTGACAGTTGTGTTGGGGTTAACCATGCCACGCATTGCTACCTGCTTACACTGACAGTTGTATTGGGGTTAACCATGTCACGCATTGCTACCTGCTTACACTGACAGTTGTATTGGAGCTAACCATGCCACGCACTGCTACCTGCTTACACTGACAGTTGTATTGGAGCTAACCATGCCACGCATTGCTACCTGCTTACACTGACAGTTGTATTGGAGCTAACCATGCCACGCACTGCTACCTGCTTACGCTGACAGTTGTATTGGGGTTAACCATGCCACGCATTGCTACCTGCTTACACTGACAGTTGTATTGGAGCTAACCATGCCACGCACTGCTACCTGCTTACACTGACAGTTGTATTGGGGCTAACCATGCCACGCACTGCTACCTGCGTACACTGACAGTTGTATTGGAGCTAACCATGCCACGCATTGCTACCTGCGTACACTGACAGTTGTATTGGGGTTAAGGAAGGGCACCATCTACATCTGTGTCGTGAAATATGACAACGATGTAACCCCATACTTCTTTCAACAACGATACGGTGAGGGTTTGAGAGAGGAATTCGCCAGACGAAGTGATCAGTGTTAAATATTTCCTGTTTGATATATTGAAAGTCCAGTGCCATGGATTGCTATCTTACGCCATTTTGCAGCCAGACGATAAGGTTAGGACCATCAGCAGGGTGTACTAATGTATCCCTTATGTATGTTCTTTGTGAACTCCTCGCGTAGGTGTGTTATTGTCTATTTACCATTTACTTCGAAGAGCAAGGTTGGTGCTATTATAACCAAGCCTTACTGCGGAGCAGTCTTCTGATAGACGTGAATACACTCCCTAAACCAGATTGGCATTTTGCAGATCTAATGCATATTTCATTAGATATAAATTCTCCCTTTTTATAGCTGACTTATTGATTTCGATGTTAGCAAGTTGAAATATACAGCGGTATTCTAAAAGCATCTAAGTGTAAATTGATGTTATGTGTACATTGTGTAGTAGCATATTGCCACCACTACATATATTTAGTGGGGATGATACATGTATATTTGGGTGGTCAGCAACACCCTTGATAGTGTTAAATGCAAATGGGTCGAGATCGCCGTCACTGATTGGAACATTCGTTACCAGTAATGAGAAAGCAAACTACGTCTATCCCATGACAATCATTTCACATCAATAGCTCATATCTTTGTTTGTTTGTTTGTTGCATCAACCAAGTCAGCGAGCCTGACCATCCGATACCGTCAGTCGCCTCTTACGACAAGCACTGTTGCCTTTTACGGCATACCTGATTAGATGTGTACAGTCAGATGAACTATGTGTCAGAACACTGGTGTATTGAAAACCGTTGCATGCAGGTTATCTCTTGAGGGCTCTTCGTCTGGAAGGAAATGAGAATTCATCTATGAAGGTTATTCTTTGAAAGGCACAAAAGGTTGTGGTATTGCCTTAGAACATCCGAGTAGGATCGTGTTCTCCTTGAGATATGTCAAATGCTA